AATTAAATTAACAAAGGAGTAGAAGAGGACTTGTAGAGGAAGAAAAGACAAAGGAAGGACTGAATTGATGAAAACGACTACAGGGCATCGAATTGACCTAGTTAATAGATGCAATGAAGATGAGGAGTTCCAGATTATTCACGATTGTATGCTGACTTATCAAGACTCCTGTCACATGATGTTCGCCATTGCCACTGTATAGACAATCACGTGATATTGTTTTACTGGAACACTTGAAGTTCGAATTCAACAATGAGCAATAACGTACTAATCAAACCGCAAGGCAATATGAGCCCACTTGAGTTGATATCCGCCACTATGTCAACTCGGAATCTACAGGAAGTCCGCCAGTTGCTCGTCCAGCCACTTAACATCATCTTTACTCTCTCCAGGACCACCAGCCCAGTCTGCGTTTTGAGGATCGTCAGGAGTGTCTCGCCAATAATCAGAATCGGATCAACTTACGACCCCAGATAGAAGGAATCACTCGGAGAGTCCCAATGCCAGATTGCATGCAGGAGACTTCATATTCGGAGTCCTCGGGACTGCGCAGCGACATTAAGCATTAGACGCCAAGGCTCGAAGCATCACTTACGGGAAATATAGGTCAGATTTTCCTGGCATCACCAGGGTCTTTGCCTTGATCGAGGCCATAGCTTTCTCGAAATTACCATTGTAGGGTTCCTGCTGGGACACATCTCCATTCTGCCAGGTCTGAAGCATCACCAACAGATTATCCGGGTCTTATCCAATGGGGTCAATCATCAACGGAGCCAGTTCAGGACATGTTCAGTTTCTGCAGACGGCTTACCTTTGGATAAAGCCCACTTCTCCCAGAAATTCTGCATGAAGTCCTCCAGGTCCTTGTAGCCAAGAGCTGTCTCGTACAACTTCTCCCGGTAGAAGGCCTGGCTGAAACCCCTATCCAGACATGTTAAATGAGCTTCGAGCCGTTCAATATTACAAAGGTCTGTTCGGACACAAGCTTACCAGCCAGCATACACTCTAGCAAAAGCTTTCAAACCAATCTCTCTGTCTTCGGCACTCCACGTCCCCAAAATCTGACCGGCCTTTAGAAGGCCAATCTTTCCCGAACCTGCCGATGGAACGCGCTTCGCTGCAAGCAAGGCGCTCTTGACGCCTTCCAAAAACACCTGGTTATGCAGCGATATCTTTGCCGCCCCGCAAAAAGGAATTGCGACATCCATGAACTCAGGATACTGAGTCGCCCATTGATAGGTCTGTGCCCCTCCCATTGACCAGCCAAGCACTGCACGTAGATGTCTGATTCCAAAGTGCTCTGTGACAAGCTTGTGCTGAGCGCGAACATTGTCGTATAATGAGCATTTCGGAAATGGCCGAAGATGGGGGTGGTTGGATGGAGACGATGACTGGCCGTTTCCGAAGAGCGCAGGTATGATGATGAAGTACTTCTTCGGATTCAGGACTTTATCCTCTCCTATAAACCAGAAGTTGTCGGATATCACTTGGTGAAGGTCAGTATAACAGACATGCGTGTTTTCCTCTGTCAGTCTCTACATACTACCGGAAAACCATGAGGGGTAGACAATTGCGGGGGAGCTTGGGTCTCCAAATGTCTTGTACGCAAGATGCGCATCGAGTATTTTCTCCCCGCTCTGGAGTTCCCAGTCTCCCAGCTTAAAGATCTCGTAATCTTGGTCAGTCATGTTGGTCACCAAGTTGAAGAGGGCAGACCCGGAAAAGAGCTTCTGAAAGTTTGGCTGATAATGTCAGGACTAATAGCGGCGCCTTCGACGTTTGAGTAGTTCAAAGTTCAGTGATGAGCAGCGATTCATCTACATATTTATAGTCCTGTCAATGATATCAAGGACCTTAACTAGTGACACATTGCAGCGTCATGAGACACAGGTTTGTTTGGATTGGTACCACCGACGGTATCCCATGTTGCGATTTATAATAAGATCAGGGCACCTTGTCGACAAGAAAGTATGCCCCTCTAATCAATGCAGACTATTACGTAGCGTATATGATGATCACCAAGGATGTCCTATCAGCTCAAATAGTGTTCTACTATTTTGCTTCACTATCGACATGTTGAGGCATCTACCCATACTCCATTGTCTAGTCTCTGAGTCTCTCTTTTCGGGTTGACCCAGCAAGAAGAGACAGCTCCCCACTTGGGGTGGCCTCTGGCGACCAGATGAAATCGGCCCGGCCATCGGTAATGACGGCATATCTCCACGCCCCTTTTAAGCGAATTATTATGATGAAGGGAGTGGAAATTAGGACATTATAATATACATGCTCCGTGGAGTTTGTGCCGGTCCAAAACTCGGGACAAATAAATGTCAAGGAGCCTGCCCCGATCAACAGATATCACTTGTGTGGCAAGGAAACCTTTTGAAGAACTCCCTGCATTAGATTGTAATGAATCGTACGATCTCATATCAGGTCTTACGAGTTCAAAGATCGTTGCATACACAGTTGTACGTTGTCCGACCACCACTTGCACACTGAGGGGATGACTTCTCCGAGAGGAGCCTCAGAACCAAGTCGGTGTTAAAATGAGCGAAGAGCGTGCGACTTGCTAATAACTCATGCAGAGGGTCTCGAGTGCAATCGTATCCTCCTTGGGTGATTCATATATCCCGTTACTATCGATCTTTTCATCAATCTGCTACAATGTTCAAAGTCGGCGACGATTTCGACAAGATTCAAGCTTCCCGACCTGACTTCAGGCGTGATGCGCCGGTCACTTTCTCCAAGCCCCCGAATCCAAACTGGAAAGAGGGCGATGGTGCCAATGATGGTGGAGAGAGTCTGAAGAAGAACCACGTCGAAATCGATCCATACGAAGAAGGACGACCGGTATCATCAAACTATAAGCTCCTTATCTCGGGAATTGTCCCAAGACCCATTGCGCTTATCAGCACCAGATCCAAAGACGGACAGACGACGAATTTGGCACCGTTCAGTTATGCTCAAGTCATCAATCACGATCCTCCTCTTTTTACCGTGGGATTGGTTGGCTCGCTTGAGAAGGCCAAAGACTCCTTGAAGAATATGGTCGAGTCAGGTGAATGTGTGATTAATATCATCTCTGAGCATTTTGTCGAGGCAGCCAATGCGACCGCTATCAATGCACCGTACGGGGTCTCCGAGTGGGATATTTCCGGGCTACACCAAGCACCTTGCTCTGTCGTCCAAGCGGCCCGGGTCAAGGAGTCAATGTTCTCAATTGAAGGCAAGCTCGTCGAGACTAAGGAGTTCCAGAGCAGGACGACGGGTAAGACAACGGGCACTTTGGCTATTATTGAGGGTGTTCGTTTCTGGGTGAGGGATGATGCTATCAATGAGGACAAGAGCGTCATCGACCTCAAGGTCCTGAAGCCCATCAGTCGGCTCGGAGGTATCTCGTATGGGCGTACCACTGATGCCATCGAAATTCCCAGACCAAACTTCTAGATGGCTGTACAGCACTCAAGCGTGATGAGGGCGATTCTCTGTCGGTCCGGGGAATACAGGCCATAAGATATAGACATGCTTATCACATCCTAGAATACTTCATTCAGACACAAGCCGAGCCCTTCTTCTTATAACCGTTCTCTTCGGTGACCCGTTGATAGATAGGTGCGTAATCTGGCATGTCGCTGATCTAGGCTCAATTTTGAATATTGAGAGCACATGTGGAGATTCACAGGCCATAAGAAGTTTGCGTTCTGGTCAAAGCTCGGACCAGCAACATGCCATTGTACAGAATTAGATGGCTTCGGTTCACACCACGGTACGTGGGGAATAAAAATTGTCGACGCCTCCACCAGCGGATTTGTTGAGGGCTTCTAGCCTTCTATGTAGGCTTCGAGGCGGCTAAGTATGGCTCGTTCCGTTGTCCGATTGTGGAACTCGGACTCACTCCGTTTCTGAGTCCATTGAGCCTTGGGAAGCTACTCAGTGTGGTTCACCCATGGACTAGTAATCCTGTCAATCCATTATTTCCCCATCCTCCGGCTAAATTATTCTTCTCCAGGCGGAGAGAATTCTCCACGCCGGCTGGCCCCTGCAGGAACAGAACCTCAACATGGAGATCATGCAACACACTACTTGATCCTTATTATTGGTGTTTCTAAACAGCGTGTGAAAAGCCAACGAACCTTTTACTTTTTGACACACAGTAGAGGAGTGGGGATCGGCAGAGTTGCGGAAATCAGGAAGTATTCGATTGATTGCTTAGGTCGATAGTAGCTGTATGCTGTACCCAGTTTGGATAGATCAATACATTCTGGACAAGCAAATAACGTAGCATCCAGAACCGCGGGGAGAGTCACATGGTGGTTCCTAGTTTTTCTGGGGGCCCAGCCAGGGCGCGGAATACGGAGAACACCTTACCTACCTTACCTATCCATGTTTTCTTGCTTCTGTCCATTGACACGTATCTGCTCTCTGCCTAATTTTGTCTACCTGTATCATTTACCTTTGATACCATTCGGGTTTTGTCACCCCGTTATTTTACGTCGGAGTAATCAAGGCATTCTTCAAGCAGGTCCGGCGTCATTTTGAGCCAGTGTGCCCAAGCATTGCGCAAATAAGCACACTCGACCTCGGCCATCCTAATTCAGTACAGAAGCGTTGTCGCTTGAGATGAGCTACAGAAAAATAATGGTTATAATCGCTGATTGTACGAGTAAAGATAATGTTTGACCAATACACAACCTATAGTCCTGCTGACGCATTAATTAGAATAATTATTGTGCCGTGCCCTCCCCCTCACCTCCCACATCCCGACCTTGCGATCTTGCGCCCGCCGCACAGTGGGATAACGTCCATGGAGTTTTCTCTTCTGCTGGTGTTTCGTCCCATCGATCATTTCCATCCGCGCCACCGGAATCAACCAAAGTCCTAGCTTTCCTCGCCAACTCCCTAGGATCTGACTCTCGGCCTCGATCGATTTCTCCAGCGTCGCAAATAATCAGCTCCCTAATGTGACATGTGTTGTGACCACGGATGAATATTCGCTCGCAATGAGCCATTCGTCTCCTGTGAAGAACGGCGGCAGTAATGTTCCTCCTGCACGGCAAATACGATTTGTCTCAAGCGATGGACAGCCCCAGCCGAAGCGCCGTCGAGTCAATGCGGCGTAAGCTTGCCTTCGTGACACATGCTCTTTACGCAGCTGACAGTAGCCTTTTTTGTGGCTTCTATAGGTGTCGGACGTGTCGCAAGCGGAAAATAAGATGCTCTGGTGAACAGCCAGGTGAGAAGCTGACGCCGCACTTATACTTAACAATGCTGTTACTGATACCCTGTTCCCTAGTGTGTAAAACTTGCTTGGATTACAAACATGTTTGCTTAGGATATAGCGAACCTTCTACTCATGTTCGCACGCCCTCAGGGAACGCATCACTAGCCCCAAGCCTCGCCCCTCTACCCTCTGCTAGCGAGAGATCAAATCCTCAAATGGTCAAGAGTCAAAGTCCAGATGGTGCTTCACAGTATAAGCAAACCCTAGGCAGTGGCCTTGACCGGCACGCCGATCATACAAGCTCTCAGGATGCCCTTTTATCGAGAGAGACATCTTCGAGCAATATCCGTGAGTCGGAGCAGCATACAACCGGAGCAAGTCCGGAAAGCAGTACGTTATATCCGATAACAATTGGCATTACTGGCTGCGTTGACTCACATTGCTTTCAAAAGGTCGGACCTCCCTAAGCTCAAGTCATCGCACCCACGTTCCTTATTTTCGATATTTTGGGCCGACAGCCATTGTTCCCGGCTTCAAACAGATGGTTAGTGCTTTCATCTGACTTGTTGCTACGGGAGCTTTCCATTTGCTTATTTTGCCTGCAGGTAGTACAGGTGCGCGGGTCTCGCAAAAGCAATACTTCGTTGTCTTCAGGTATGCATCCAACCCACTTATGACCTTCTATGGCAAGTGTTTTCGCTTGCTTCTGACAGTTTGAATGACATTACAGAGTCCCTTTCGCCTCTTCGAAGTCCAAAGTCTGCAGACGTGGGTATCGGTCGTATAAATTCGCTGGTCGATAACCGTGAGTTCCGAGACGCGAACACCATCCCGTTCTATGACCGAGACGACACTTTACCTGTCAGCAACCTGGTCATGCACCTTTGCGACCTGTTCTTCGTTCATCTGGGCTGCAGTTTCCCATTCTTGCAGCGAGATCGGTTTCTTCGTGATCTAAAGGATAAGAAAGTTGATACTATGCTTGTTGACGCAGTCTGTGCCTTAGCCGCGAGATTTTCGCCGCACCCGCTATTGGGTCCTCCTCAGGCGCCGTCTATCGATGGCTCGGAGTTGCAGAATGACGTAAAGAACTCAGACCGGGGTCACGCATTTGCTCACAGGGCAATGGGCGCCTTGGTTGACTCGCTTTCATGCCCCACACTTTCTGTTGTTCAAGCATGTCTTCTGCTGGCCTACGAACAATTCGGATCAAATCATGACAGTGGCCTCTGGATGTATCTAGGTATTGCCATTCGAATGGCTCAGGATCTTGGAATGCAGAAGCTGCAGGGCCTGAAACACAGCTATGGGCGGAGGGGCGTGACTCCAAGTGCAGTTCTGTCTGGACAGGCAGGGAAGCTACGGGAGGAAGAATATGATCAATGTGATGGTGCTCAAGTTCCTTTAAGCCCCAGCAGCGGGATGAAGCACGATGAGGACCATCGCGCCTGGGAGCGTGAAAAGGTCGACACGTTCTGGAGTATTTTCTTCCTGGATCGTGTAATCTCCTCGGGTACTGGGAGGCCAGTCACGCTTCGCGACGAGGAGATAGAGTTATGTTTCCCGCTACAGTCGGAATCGAAATTATCGAACGGCTGGCCTGCACCGTTTCCGCCACTCATTCGCATAATACACCTTTACGGAAGGGTCACGGATCTAATCAATGGTATTCAGGATGCGAACCACGTCACAACAGAGACATTGAAGAGACTTGCCGGGATGGAAAGTGATCTGACAGGTAGGTGTTCATCTTTCTCTTTCTCCAGTCATTTATTTCCCTCAAAGACTTACATACCTATTTTTCCAGGCATCTACCAGCGATTGTCACCCAGACTGCATTTTAATGCGGCCAATTTCCAGGCCTATGTAAAAGCGAAAGAAGGAACAAATTTCATACTTCTCCATTTTGTAAGACCATTTCCGACATCTACATCATTTCGGCTCTTGATCTAACGTGCATGAAGTGGTTTCACACCCTCATCGTMCTTCTTCACCAACCCACTCTCCTGAATTCGTTCGGCGGTACAATACAGCATCTCTACCCAAATAGCAGAGAATTGTCAATGTCCTCAGCTAAGACAATAGCCGATATTCTATCTTTCTCTGAGCTTGTTGATGGGAAGAGCTTTATCGGCAATCCATTCACGAGTCAACCAATGTACATCGCTGCTTGCGCTTTTCTCATGGAGAGTGCATATTATTCGTCGCCCCCTTCGAGATCGGGTTCCCCTCCATGTCAACCGCTGCTCAATGACCAGTCTAGTGGCTTTGTGATGCCAAACATGGACTCTTCTTCGGAACGGAAGTCGAGCGCTAAGCATATACTTCTCGCTTCCGCTGCCCGAGAAAACTACCAGCGGTGCTACAAAGCCCTCAAGGCACTTGAGACATATTGGGAGGGTACTAGGTATATTTTAACCGTTCTAGATCAGAAGGCTAAGGGTATCGTTGATCCATTGCTCTATACTGAAGAGGAGATGGAAAATGCAACTGAGACATTTCCACTTCCGACCTCCGCTGTTCCCACCTACCGACAAGCAAAGCCAGCATTGAGTGCCACGGTTCAGCCAAAAAATGCGGCAAGTGCTGCAACAGAAGGCAGAACGTCACCTAGGATTGACCCGGGCCAAGGTATAACAATCATGGTATAATGCCGTTTCTCAAAATGTGACAGCTAACGTATTTCTCCTAGCCATTGGATGGGCTCTTACTGGAGCCACCAACTCTTCCCAACCAAACCTCAGCTTGTTATACCAGATGCCAGCTTCCCAAGCCGATTATGACACAAATAGACCTACCTTTTCTTCTCAGTATAGTCACAGCTACCCCAATCTGCCGGCGCAATTTAAACAGGAGCAAGGTTCGAGCTCGTATCCACAGTCAGTGGAGACGACACGGACTTCAGACGGGACACGATCTTCATCAATCTCTAATGGACCCGCGAAATATAGTTCGCTTGTTCCTCCTGGACGAGTTGCCGCTTCCGACGCCAATCTTCTACTGGGCCTAAACACATCATATTCTAACTCAACCGATAGCACATCGAATACTCAACCAACTTACAACCAGGGCCTTACCTCTTCATCCATGTCTCAACTGCAACCGCAAACCTCTCACTACAGTTACAGCATGGCGTCTGCACAGAGCGAACGGCATGCAGGTAGCAGCCATATAAATCCACAATCGACCCACCTACAATCGAACATCGGCTCGAATTTCGGTGGGGTCTTTATAGAAAGCCAGGAAGTCGATGTGAATGCTCTCCAACAACAAGAGCACTTTCCATTCCCTTTCAATGGTGAAATTCTACCTTACCTTGAATATCTACCGCAAGACGTCCTCCATTACTTTGAGGAACAACAAAATTACCCTCCTCTGATGAGCGCAGACGAAAATCATACCCAACCTTCGGAATGAATTCATGCCACTTTTGTTGCATACATCTGACGACTGTATGAATATATGACCGGTATTTTGTCAACTTCTGTCATGATTGAGTGAAAGAAAGTCACTTCCGACGTCTTGCCATTGCATACGCATTCTAATTCGGCAATAATCTGCAATTTACTTCGTTTTTCATTTAGTCTTATGCTTCCATTCAGCGAGCAAGCATTTACGGAGGAATTCACAAACGAAACCCTGGTCATGCATTGTAACTGTCTCAGTTGGGACAATCTATATTACCCTTGCAACAGCATCCTGATCCCATTCTGTATCTATATTCTGAATTCAAAGTCCTATTCTAAGTTGAGCCCATTGGCCAATTTCAAGACTCTATCATCACTTGTAGTGAGCGCTGAGCATGCAGACGGCCTTACTTTTAGGGGTAGAAGCTCAACTGCTATTCCTATTTTTGGAAATTCTCAAAATCGAATAGATGACCTTGTCAGATAATAAATTAAACCCCCCTATGGAGCTTTCATCTATCGAACGAAGCCTTGCGCCAAGCAGTGTCGATCTAGGAGGTTGACCAGCCACTAAAAGTAGAGTAGACCGCCATCCTGTCCATGCATGGTTGCCCTGCACAACCAGAAGATGAAAACACCAGCAACAACTCATCAGGTGGTTGCTGTAAGGATGACCGTTTCTTCATCAAAGCCATGCTCAATTTATTTCATCTTCTCTATCTCCAAGAGAACAGTTATGTATCTCCATCTTCAAATTTTTTTTGTTGATGATTTGCAGGTTTAGCAGCGTTGTTACTTATACATCCGTCCAATAAGTCGCATTCCTCATCATTAAAGTCGACCAACAGAGCGCACATTCTTGATTTGAGTCCTACTCTCGATACTGGTTCCTTGTGCATTCCATGTCTTTATTATGGGGGATATATCCGACGCCCCTCATTTGATTGAATTTGCCAATTTCACTGCAGACGGTCCGCCTTTCGGCGCAAGCCCTTCAGCAGACGGACTAGCCCGCTTCAACGTGACAAGCTCAGCTTCCCACGAAGATTCACCACATCGCGAGGAAGAAAGACAGTTGAGCGACGATGCCCCTATGTCTATTCAGGACTGCGGGTACAACTCCTCGGAATCCTCAACGCAACACTCCACGAGCGACATAGCTGGTCATGACCTGGACGATGACGATTTAGCTCCACTGGACTCGCGTGCATCCAGTCGCTCTTCAATCTCCTCAATCCCCGATTCGGTGCTGATCCACCCCCCAAGCGAGCTGAAACCTGTGATCGGCTGCGGCGCAGATGAGCGAATCCGCCACCCCTGGATCAATCAAGATAGCCCCGGTCATGGCAGAATGGAGGCACAGTTCAAGACCATACAAACAATCAGGCAACGGGAGGCTGCGTTCCGGAAGCCCAGCTCTGTGCGTGCAATGCAGATGCACACTGAGGATGAGGATGATGACGAGTTTCTGACTCCGCCCAAGCGGAGGGGCGGACATCGGATGTCGGATATCTCAATTCGTTCGGCGGGCTCGTCCCCGCTTAAGAGATCGCCTTATTACTCCCCTACCGGGTCTGCGGGGAGACAAAAAGTTAAGAAGGAGTATCCGCTTGTTTTGCTTCACTGCACCTTGCTTCCTCCTTCGCTGCCTGTGCCAGGTTTGATTGGATACCCGGACCAGAAGATCCTGAGAGAGGTGCTGCCTCCGGAGTACTGGAGGAGATGGAAGTTGCTGGAGGAGAAGGTTGGTTCCGGTGTGCTCCGTGACCGGGGCGTGCTCATCTCTCACCCAGAGGATATGTACGATCTGCTTGAGGAACGACTGCTGGAAAGTCTGGAACTTCAGCGCCCGCGGCTCCATCATGGCCACTTCTTGGGACATGAGGACACGGCTTCGGAGAAAGGTGATCAGTCGGCCACAGAGGATGGTGCTACTGATGACGAGCAAGGCGAAGAGTGCCCCGACTGCGGTGGACGATTCCCTAGGCACGATTCGAGTAGGAAGTGGGAGATCAAGGTCTTCGCCGCAAACGGGCTGATGAGAGCTGGTGCCTGGGCTGCGGCTTGGAAGGAGATGGAAAAGGTGGATGTTGAAGTCGGCCTTTGGCTCCCGTCTGAGATTAGGCGGGAGCTGGAGAAGCGGCTTTTGGACATTGACCCCCCTAGCAGTGATCTTAGGCTACAGGTGCCGCAACTCAGGGAACCCGCTACCAGCATCGGCGCAGAGCTGTATGATCAATCGTCGCGCACCAATACACCTACCCCATTGATCCATGCACCGAGTTTATTTGTTCCTGAGGAGTCTGCGCGCCCCTCGTCACCAGCCACAGGAATTACAACGCCAGCGAAGGCTCCAGCCATGCCACCTCCAACGTATTCTCCAAGGTCAGTTGATGAAATCGACCTGCAAACGCTGCTCATCAACTACATCCGGGTACTGGCTAGTGACCGTCGCAACGTGGCAATTGTCCTTTTGAGTGTGCTGGCGGTATACCTTGCAGTTGGGGTCAAACCTCAGCCCTCCTCTTCGCACCTTCGACCTTTTCCTGGGGATATGTTTGAATCCATGCCTGCGCTCTCATCCACCGTTTTACTGGAGCAACATACAACTCCAAGCTGGACAGAACAGCCCAGTTTTTCTACTGAGCTCTCTTTAACGGCAGCAGAACCTGCCATGACTGTTGAAACTTCCACCCTTCAAAAAGAAACTGTGAGGGAAAAGACCGGCTCGAAAACCTCTCAGGCTATTCCTTCAGCGGCGTCTGAGTCTGTTACTGTATTGTCCTCCAGCACTGCTACTCCCACGCCTCAGATTGTTACTCCAGCATCTTCCAAGATTGTTGCTAGTCCGCAAAGGTCGCAAGCTAGATTGCAGGAGATAGAAACATCTCCTGCAAGCCTAGACCTGCTGGTTGAGCGATCTGAACCCACGAGTCCGGTAATGAGGTTAGCAAAGGATGAGACGGAGACAATCGCGCGAACGTATTTGGCAGTTGAGACTTCCAAGGCTCCTGAGATGATCTGATTGGATAATTGAAAGATATTTTGACAAGATACTGATGATGATACGACATGATGGATTTGATTACTGCGATGCTTATGGATCTATGTGGAGTTTGTTCCTTGATTGTTCATCTTTCCCCGTTCAGAGCGTGCATTCAATGTTTGTTTGAGGTTGTTTGGCATATTGAACCACAGGTTGTCAAGCATTTGTCTGTTATACTCACCATGTTAGAGCCAGTGAAATGAATTTGATTCAATGCCTATCAGAAGCACTTTCATAGTCTCGAATCCCATCGAAGCTCCAGAAGGGCTTTCCAGATCACATGTCAGCTACGTCAGCCCTACAAATTGCTTAGTCATTGAGTCACCGCCGTCGGTCGAAACCGCAAAAGTATCCATAGGATGACTCGCCATCACAACAACTCAAATCAAGCGCAACTTCTCTCCCTCTGTCTGCACTCTCCTTAAAAACGGTTTCACTCTTGATTTATAGTCAGCGCTCAAAATGGGAGGAAAGAAAGCCGCTGGAGAAAACTCCAAGAAAGCAGCTGGACAGGCTCGTGTATGTCTCTCAACCCAACCCCGCCCCCGCCTTTTTTCTGCCATCGCCACGAGCATGTTTTCTATATCAGGTTAAGGAATCTTGGGACTAACGATCCACGATTTGCATACAGAAAGCCGAAGCCGCCGCAAACAAGAAAGCAGCTGAGGACTCCAAGCGAGCCGCCGAGGAGGACAAGGAGTGGCAGAAGGGCGCAAAGGGCAACTCGAAGAAGTGAGCGCCGACGTCGCGTGATTAAGTAGCGGCTTGCTAACGTTATCTGCGAAATATAGGGAAGAAGCAGAAGCCAAGAAAGCCGAAGCCGCTCGCAAGAAGGCCGAGCGAGAGGCCCTCCTCGCCGCCGAAGAAGCCTCGCAACCCTCCAAGCCCAAGGGTGCCGGCGCCAAGCAAGCACAGAAGAAGACTCGCGGTCTGGATTTGTCGCAGCTGGATGATGAGCCCGCTAGCCGCAAGGGCGTTGCCCTCAACGCATCGGGTATCGATAATGCGCTGGATGCGCTCTCCCTGACCAGCAAAGACTCGTCGAAGGTCGATCGTCACCCCGAGCGCCGTTACAAAGCGGCGTATGCGGCGTATGAGGCGCGCCGGTTGCCAGAGATTGAGAAGGAGAATCCCGGGCTGCGGAGGCAGCAGCGCGTTGAGCTCTGCAAGAAGGAGTTTGACAAGAGCGAGGAGAACCCGTTCAACCAGGTGCATGTGGCCTTTGACGCTAGTCGGGAAGAGATTGCTGCTGCTAAGGAGGCTGAGAGAAAGAAGGTGGAGGCAAGACTGGCTAGTAAATAAGCTGGTTATCTTTCTCACGTCCTTCACTTTCTCAACCCTTCCTTCCGCTCTTGCGGCTTTTTGCCGAACATTATTGAGCAGGACGCGCATATCTCCAGGATGCAACTCTCGGCTTTTACCACCTATACCCGGGCCTCGTACCCAAAATTGGATAGATCATGGATATAACGTGATGATGATTGTGGAAGCGGCTTGAGTTTGGACTGCAAACAGCAGGCTTTGATGATATTTGGCGAGTCATGTCTTGAAATAGAGCGTCTTGCATATAAGGTATCTCGATCATTTCATCATCGGAGAACTCGTGGCTTGACGAGAAACAAAATTGCAGGAAATATTTTGTTCATATTTGTGTAATTTCCTTGGGAAACCTGAAGTTGCTGTCCMGCAGACATATCAATGGTATCTCGTGGTAGTCTAAATAACCAATACAGGATAGGTGGAAGGGGAGAATCGATAGATCACAGCATCTTTATCCCATCACTGCTCGCACATCCCAAACATACAGGTTCTCATCCCACCCTACGCTCGCACACCATCCTTCACTGCCAAAAAGACACCAGTCAACGCCTGTGACAAACTCGGTATGCCGATTCATACGCCCAAGCTCCATGCCCATTACCGGACCACCGGGGCCGCCACGCATGGGATCGGCATCACCCATA